TTAGACTTCAGTAAGGCATTTGATAAAGTAGACTACAACCTACTCCTTGGTAAGCTAGAAAAAGGCGGAATAGACAACATCACCACCAGATGGATCTGTAGCTGGCTGGCAAACCGTACTCAGCAAGTCGTCCTCAATGGCACTACATTCACATGGAGAGAAGTAAGCAGTGGGGTACCACAAGGTTCCGTCTTAGGCCCAGTACTCTTTGATGTCTTCATCAATGACTTAGATGAGGGAATAGAAGGGGAACTCATCAAATTTGCAGATGACACCAAACTGGCAGGAGTAGCCAACACCCCAGAAGACAAACTCAGGATCCAAAAAGATTTTGACAAACTTGGACAATGGGCCCTATCCAGCAAAATGAGTTTCAATGAGGAGAAAAGCAAGTTTTACATTTAGGTAGGAAAAATCAAAGGTACAAGTACAGATTGGGCAAGACCTGGCTTAAAAACACTAGCTGTGAGAAGGATCTTGGTGTCCTAGTGGATGATCACTTAACCATGAGCCAGCAGTGTGCAGCAGCAGCAGCCAAAAAAGCCAATACACTCCTGGGTTGTATAAACAGAGGTATAGAATCAAGATCGTGCGAGGTATTAGTACCGCTTTATAAAACCTTAGTAAGACCACACCTGGAATACTGCAGCCGATTTTGGTCACCATATCACAAAAAAGATGTTGAGAGTTTGGAAAAAATTCAGAGAAGAACAACTAAGATAATCAAAGGCCTGGAGACTAAAACATATGGAGAATGGCTGCAGGACTTGGGATTGGCTAGTCTGAAGAGAAGAAGAAATAGGGGAGACATGATAGCAGTGTTCCAGTATTTGAGGGGCTGCTACAAAGAAGAGGAGGTCACTTTATTCACCAAAGCACCAGAGGGCAGGATAAGAATCAATGGTTGGAAGCTGATTAAAGATAGAAGCAACTTGGAATTAAGGAGAAACTTCCTGACAGTGAGGAAAATTAACTAGTAGAACAGCTTGCCTCCAGAAATCGTGGGCACTTCATCACTGGAGATTTTAAAGAAGAGTCTAGACAGTCACTTGTCTGAGATGGTATAGGTTCACCTGCCTGAGCAGGGGACTGGACTAGAAGACCTCAAAGGTTCCTTCCAGCTCTATTCTATTCACCTTCAAGTTCCCTTCCAGCTCTATTCTGATTCTGAGGTAGTAGGTGGCATGCTGAAATATTTGAAAAGAGCTGTATGGAAGGGCTTACTTCTGTCCACTTTATTATATGCAAATGAAACTTGGATATGTTAAGGTCATAAAAATAATGAGTATAATGAACATGAGTTACATAAGTTTGCTAAAATGAGGAGAGAGATAATCATTAATGATGAATACAAAAGTATGGCTATCCCAAGGAGCTTACTGATTGCCTCAGATTGGCAAAAGCAGCATTGCACTGTGGAGTCCTTGGTGCTATCTGAGCTTGGTTTGCTTGCAGATGTTTCATTACCTGACTAGGTAACATCTTCATTGCTTCAGTGTTTATATCAGGGGTAGTCAACCTTGGCTCTTTTATGACTCGTGGACTTCAACTCCCAGCTGGCTCAGGAATTCTGGGAGTTGAAGTCCACGAGTCATAAAAGAGCCAAGGTTGACTACCCCTGGTTTATATATTGCAGTTTGCACTGCCAGTGTTGTTTTCTCCTTGGTTGTTCCTTGAGTAGGGTATTGTTCTCTGCTTGATTGATTATTTGATGTTAATTACTGCTTATTTGGATGTTGGCTGCTAAAGAGGATATGGTCTGGTCTTTTTGTTTCCTTCTTTTTTATTGTCTGTTTTAAATGGTATTTAAATGATTTATCCTAAGTATCTTGATAGCTGATGTGTCTGAGTGCCAAGCTTCCAGGAATTCCCTAGCATGTTTGCGTTGCAGTGCAAGCTCCACTCCTTACAATTTATGGTGAAAAGGAGCAGGGCTTATTTCATAATGTGGTTTTCATTAGTCTCTCCTCCCCCTCTTCCCCCCAGGCTTGCTCTCTCCATTTGTGGTTGCCACCTGTATGAATGTGATTGACCGACATAAAGGAAATACATTAGACCAGGGGTGTCAAACTGCCAACCAGTGGGCTGGTTGTATAATACGGAGGCCGCACCCCCCCAGCTCCGGCAATGCAAAAAAAGTTGTGATCGTCACTGACGCAGCAGGTTTGACACCCGTGGATTAGATGGTTTGATCATGCAGAAACAATGAATGAGAAACAAATAACAAAATAAATACCTGAAGGAACAAAGAATGTCTGAGAAGAAAGGAAATATGGAGAAAGTGATGACTGGATGGAGCCGAGGATAAAAGCTTCAAAAAGAGAAATGTGAGAAGATTAAAAAACAAAGACCAGCAAAGGGAAAGCAAAGATGGCTTGTAAGGATAAAAGGATGAAACATAGTCAGTTGAACTGTATTGGTATAAACAAAGTTTAGATCTGCTTTCTTTTTCTTACCACTTCTTTTGACTTACAAGTAGTCCTCAACTTACAATTACAAAAAAAACCAATAAAGGACCCTGTACCCTGAACTACAAAAGGAACCAAAAAATCCAGTGTAAAGCAGTGCAGTCATTAAGTAAGGCATCACATGGCCACATTGGATATTAGGACTTTTTTTGACATGGTCATTAAATGAATCACCAAATTGTTAAGCAAGAAATCACATGGCTGTAACTTTCTCTACTAGCTTTCCCATTGACTTTGTTTGTCAGATGCTGGCTCAGAAGATAGCAAATGATGATCAGGTGACTGCAGGACACTGCAACCATTGTAAATGTGCAACTGTTGCTAAGGACCCATATCATGATCACATGGTCATGTGTTGTAACTGTGAGGACTAATCATAAGTCACTTTTTTCAGCACCATCATAACTTTGAATGGTTGCTAAACTTACTTGTACTGTTTCTTACTTTTTTGTGTTTTGCGTAATATTGTTTTCCCTAAAAAGAAATAGTGATTGGTCTGTATGTATCTATGGTGTATATAGGTAATATGGGTATTATGATGCTCTGATTATGATCCGTGGTTCCCTGCCAGCTTAAACTTTATCTTGTATCCTTTGTCCTATTTAATGAGCAAGAAGTAAACCCTTGGTATCTATATTATTGCTGTTTATGTATCTAAAATCAAAGGGTAAAGAAGTCCCTTCTTCCATGCTAAAAGGCCAAATTTATTCATAACCTGAAGAAATTTTAAAAGCTGAAATGAAATAAAGAAACAATTGAAGACAGAATACCAAGAGTTGGAAGGGACCTTGGAGATCAACACCCTGGATCAGAAACCACCCACATTAAAAGTTTTAGTTATAAATGTACACATGAAAAAAATCATTTTAAAAATTATGATAAATGTGCTACAGATTTACAGATATAGAACTGAGTACCTTTACATTGAAGATATTTGATATGAAATTATCTGCGTCTAGGATGTACTTCATAGAAATACAGTATGGTTTTTAAACATTCTTATTAAAACTGAGCAGACCATAGTTTTTTCTCTTTTTTAAAGAAATCAATATTCTGGATTTTGCTTAGATTCTGATATGGACAATGAATGTAAAGGTAATTATCTTTTCCAAATCTGTCTCCACATATAGTTAAAAACACAACATATTTAATGGGGGACTCATTTGCTGTAACATGAAAAGGCATTTTTTTAGTGATTTTTTAAAAATTTGTTTCCGATCTCTGGACTAAATGCTTTTTTTTTAATCAGGAGGCAACAGAAAAGTTCATTGATCTGGAATTTGCTGCAGATGCATTTTTAAATGTCTGATATTCTTCATACTTGAAAACACAATACAGGAACATCACTTGAAACCACATTGACCCATTTTTCTTATTAAAGAAAAATGGGTCAATGTGGTTTCAAGTGATGTTCCTGTATTGTGTTTTCAAAACCTCCTTTTTCTGTTTCCTTTATAAAGCTTTGGTCATTATTTTTGCTATATCCAATATTACTTATTTTATTAGATTTGTTTTTTTCTTTTTCATTATTGATAGTTTTTCATGTTTTCAGTTCTTTTTAAGTTTGTCTCAAATGAAATTTCTTTTCCCTTGACTTACAGTTTTTGAAATATACAGTTCTTATATCCATGTTATCTTTAATTATTTCCTACTATGTAGAAGGCATTATGTCTTCTTTCAAAGGAAGACAAAATTTTACTAAAATTTTTAGTAATTTAAAACATGTTTTAAACATTATATTCTTCCAAATGAAAAAGACTTTTTGGAAGATGGGTAATCAAATGCATATCAGTTTAATGTCTGCTAGATGTGTTGTGAATTAAGTCTTTAAAATTTGTAGTGGAGCAAGAAAGTGATCCAGAAATATAATTTTAATTATGGTAGTTAAATTTCATATAACTACCTTGCATTTATTAGTTGTAGTAGCCTTGTTAAGGATCTTTTATGTGTTGTACATACATGCTTTTCTGTATCTTTTTACTTTAGCAGTGAATTACTTAAATTTCAGATTGAAAATATTACTCAGGCTTTGAATTCTTCCAGTAATATTAATTTTTTTGTCTTGGAGTCAATCTTGACTCCTGAATGCTGTCTGGACAAGTCTATGAAATTGTTTTTCATTGTTTTCTTCCTGGAGCCGAGAGAGAGGATGAGTAGCCCAAGTCACCCACTGACTTTGTGCCTAAGGCAGGATTAGAACTCACTTCTCCTGGTTTGCAGCCTGGTGTCTTTAACCACTACACCATATTGGTTTTCAAGTCTAAGTATTGATAATTTCATGAGGACAAACTTTTTTTTTCAGTTTGTTGCTGTAATATATTTAACTACTTGACGAAACTATCTTGAATAGCCAGAAACCTTATGCAGTGAAACTCAGTAGCTTTACTATGAATTAAAATCAGTTCTGTCATTTTATGTGTTTTGCTGCAGGAGCCAGTATGTGCCACCCTGAACATTTTTGGTCATTTACAAGACTGGATCTGTTTAATAAAATAGATTGTTTTGTTTTCTTCTCCCTTCATACTTTTGCAGGTTTATCCTTCATCCCAAAGAAGTAATTCACAATCAGCTCTTAGAAAAACAAAAAGTAGCAGAAGAAAAAATTAAGGAACTGGAGGTAAGTTTGAAATATCTAAAATGATTGTATGTATGTATGTATGTATGTATGTATATGTATGAATGTATGTATTTTGCATTCTTTATACTATAGGGCTCATCTGTATGAAGTTCCTTTGCAAAATGGAAATTTCAGTATGGAACAGCTAGTAGTAATTCATGTCTTATAATTGTGGCTGGAAATTCCCTGTGAAGCCTGAGAAAACACACAAAATATAAAAGCATAATTGGTTTGCTTTTAAAAAGAGAGAGGTTTGGTTTAGAGCAGGGGTCCTCAAACTTTTTAAACAGGGGGCCAGTTCATTGCCCCTCAAACTGTTGGGGGGCCAGACTATAGTCTGAAAAAAAATTAATGATTATAGAACAATGTAAAATCAAGTATAAAATGAAAAAATGAAACAAGAAAAATGAATTGGTTAATTATTTGAATGAGTTTTTAAATGAAGAAAATATACAACATTTCCAATGAATCCACACTTTTGTTTGGGAATGCAACTGCTGGTTTTTCCACAAATAGTTTTTGAGTTGGGGGAAGATGGCAGAAGTTTTGCTCCCTCACTTGTTTAATGAGTATGTCCAATTTTACTTCAAATGCTTTCACATGTGAATGCATATCACAGATGAGCTACTCCTTTCCTTGAAGTTGCACATTGAAACTATTGAGTAGCTCTGTTATATCTGTCACAAAGGCAAGGTGCCATTTCCATTCAGCATTTCTTGCAGTCGTTTCATGACTTAAACTAAGAGCCGAGGTGGTGCAGCAGTTAGAGTGCAGTACTGCAGGCCACTTTAGCTGACTGTGTTCAGCAGGTCAGCGGTTCAAATCTCACTGGCTCAAGATTGACTCAGCCTTCCATCCTTCCGAGGTAGGTAAAATGAGGACCCAGATTGTTGGGGGCAATGTAAAAAATATATATATATATATATATATATATATATATATATATATATATATATATATATATATATATATATATATATATATATATATATACACACACACACACACACATACATACATACATACATACATACATACATACATACATACATACACATTGCTTACTGGTGTACACCGCTTAGAGAGTGCTTGCACTTAAAGCGGTATATAAGTCTCATAAATAAATAAATAAATAAATAAACTAGGTAACATCAGCAATACCAGAAGAGAGGGGGGTTGTGGAATGGAGGAGGAGAAGAGGAGAAGGAGGGCGGCTGTGGAGTCCTTGCTGCTCTCTGAGCTTGGTGGCTTTCTTGCAGACGTTTCATGACCCAAACTAGGTAACATCAGCAGTGCCAGAAGAGAATGGGGTTTGTAGAGTAGAGGAGAAGAAAAGAAGAGGAGAAGGAGGGCGGTTGTGGGTTCCTTGGTCCTCTCTGAGCTTCGTGACTTTCTTGTAGACGTCTCATGACCCAAACTAGGTAACATCATTAGTTCACTTATTATCCCACTTTGGGTCCTGAAATGTCTGCAAGAAAACCACCATCTTCAGGGACACCCCCCCCCCCAAGGATCCTTCATTTTAACTCTGAACCAAAAATATTCTTCTTGATTGGCATTCTTAGGGCAGAAGAATCTGCCTGGCAGGACCTCATTCCTCTTTCCCATGGGGCACATCCCAATGCCCCCATCCTTCCATCACCCTTTCCTGGACCCTAAAGGCCAATGAAGTTTCTCTCAATCACCAGCACCGGCACTCCTGGTTCCTCCGAGCTGCTCTTACCACCTCCGGCTTTGCCTACCTCTCGGGGCTTCACCTGGACACGGCACCACCACCCCCGTTCATTCAGGATGCTCCTCCAAAGGCCGACCACATCCTCCCAGTGGCTCCCCCGACCTTTCATCGCCTCAGCTCCCCACAATCCCTCGCAACCCTGAAATAACTTTCCAGGAGCAAATTCTCCTCCTTTTTTCTCGCTCACTCTGGCCACTTCTCACAAATATCTCACCCTTCGCCCGCTCCCCTCAGACCCCTAACCGGCGCTCCACTCCAGTAGCCCCACTCCAACCACCGGTGGGGCTGAGTGCTTCGGCAATGGTGGGGGTGATATTGAGGGCCAGCGGCACCAGTTTCCTTTTGGCCGGCATGGCAGCGGCAGAGGCTGGGACTCATGTTCCATAGTGCCCAGCGAAGGACCCACCTCAGAAGCAGCAGCAGCAGTGGCATCATCATCACCAGGCTTAGCTGCCCTAAGCGAGGCTGAGGCTGCAAGCGAGGCCTAAACCTCTCAGCCCGGCCCTGAGGTAAAAACATAAATAGGCGAGAGGAGGAGAGGAAGGGGGCATGACCAAAGCATGAGCGCGCCCTTGGGCGCGCAAGGGAGAAACTGGGAAAAAACACCTCCCACCAACTCGCCATCCTGTCATTGGCTGGGGCTCTCATCATCACCCACCCACCCTCTCCTTGCGATTGGACGGCTTGCCTGGGAGGTTGAGGCAGGCTGAATGAAAAGACAGGTCGGGCTGCATGTGGCCCGCAGGCTATAGTTTGAGGACCCCTGATTTAGAGTGAGGCTGTATTTTCTTTGAATGCTTGCTTTATAACTTGGAAATGTATTGAAGACCTGATATCTGGAAATGTACAAATGATGGCTTTAGGCATGAGTATATTTTAACAACGATTATACTAGCTGCAACCTTATTTTACTTTGTCATTCGTAACCTGATTGTATCCAGCTGGACTAATGTAACATTCTCTAATTTTGAAGCTTTGCCTTACCTTGAGCTCAGAAGTAAAAGTTTTGTTTTTTACATTAAAAATTCTGAACCATTTGGATAACCTGTGTCCTAGTGTATTCTGAATGCATTGAATTAAAATGCTAGAAGTCCACTGTTAAAAAAAAATAAAAGTGGTATTATGTATAAGTTACCAATCTAATTTTTATCTGACCAGTGGACTACAAACTTACCTTTTTTAAGCATAGGGGGCTGGAAAGAACTTGGAATAAAACTAAGTAAGAGCTCAAGACAATGGTTTTATTTTGAATTTATTTACCCTTTTTCACTACCCCTAAATATTTATTTAGATTTCTGTACCATCATACCAAACAACATTCATTCTGACACAGACGTTTTCCCTCAGTGGTGTTAAAAAGGAAGTTATATGAACATTTGCTTCCACGGCTGACTGTATTTTGATACTACAAATGTGGCTATCCATGTATTCTGGGCTTGACACAAGTCCATTGGTCCCTTCTTTTTCATCTTGGGTCTTAGGAAACAATAAGGTAGTTGTTTATGTGAATATTACCAACAAGCCCTCCCCCTGAAAACATTTTAAAACATTTTTTAAAATCCTAATAAATCATATACGAGTAATTAATTTTCTCCTATTTTGGCATTCTTGTATCCTTGGGAGAAATTGAAGAAAATGTGAGACTTAGGCAGCATCATGTAGCCAATTTTGGCTAATCTAAAAAACTAAGCAGTACAGGTAGTATTCAGGTTACAAGTAGTATTGGAGACTGCCCATTCCATTCATAACTCAAAAACTCGTAGAGTGAATCTTGTACTTCGAATGAGATCACTCCCTTACTCGTTAAGATGCATGCGGCTCATTAAGTGCACATGACAGGTTGGGGAAGGCCATGGAGGTGCCTAGTGATGGAATAGGCCCCCAAGGCCTCCCTGACCCACTAAGATACCTTATGCTTCCCCCTCCCTTTCTGCTGCGCCGGACTCACTTACCTGGAAAAGATCCGTCTCCTCTCTGTCACGGTTTCTTCCTTTGAGGGAGAGGAGAGTCGATGGAAGCTTCTGGGTGCCTGTAATATCATGTAAGTTCAGGCACCCATCCTCTTTTACAGAGAATTGGAGCCTGAACTCTTGCGGTGTTTGCTCCCACCCCCAACTCCTTTCCTCCACTGCCGGAACAATTTTCACCAGGATGGAGACCTTGGGGAAACTGGAAGCTCCATCTTGCATGCAAATGCATGCTTAGAAACGGAGCGCCTTGCTCTGTGGCTCCGTTTTCGTTGGAAAAACCCATTTCTCAAGCCCCTTCCTGGCAAAAACAACCAAAGAGTGAGGTGCGCTCACTCCGGAGGCTTATTTTCTTCAGGAGGGGGCTTGAGAAATGGCCTTTTCCGGCAAAAACAAGCCTCCAAGCCCTGATGCTGGCGGAGTGAGGCAGTAGTGGCCAGAGCAGACCCTTCCCCGTCTCCCTTCGCTTTGCCAAAGCCTCCGGTTCTCCATCACGTGTAGGGTAATAAAAGAAGTCTGTGGGACTACTGGTTAAAAAAAAGTTCAAACAGATCTTCCAACTTTGCGAGATCTTTTTTTTTTTTCCACAAGAAGTTGGAAGGTCAAATTGATCTTTTTTTTTTTTAGTCCCACAAACTTCTTTTGTTGCCCTGCATACGGAGAATGGAGCTGGAAAGGAGTTAGTGAAGGAATGTGGTTGCCCTGGCGTGGGGATTAGGATTTTGCATTGTGGATGCCCTGGGGTGGGGTGGGAGTGAGGATTTGGCATTGTGGATTGTGGAGTGTTTGTGCTCTGGTGGGGCTATTCAAAATGCAGGGATTCCCTGCGTTTTGAAGCACCTTCTGTGACTGCATGGAAAGGAGTGCTCTGTTTCTCAAGCACCCCATTCCAAGTCTTTCAGTGCCTATAGAGCGCTTCCAAATGCAGCCAGTCCCTGCGTTTGGAAGCACTCCATAGGTGCTAAAACACCTGGAATGGGGTGCTTGAGAAACAGCTTTCTGCCAGATCTCCGTTGGGATAAAAAATGTTTCAGCACCTATGGAGCGCTTCCATATGCAGAGACTGGCTGTGTTTGGAAGCGCTCTAAAGATGCTGAAAGACTTTTTATCCCAATGGAGATCTGGCAGAGACTGCAAGCTCCGTATGCCTGGAATGGGATGCCTGGAATGGGGCGCCTGAGAAACAGTTTGAATTTTAATTTGTATTTGTATTTAAATGTCATATTTCAGAGGAAAAATGGGGGATGCTCTAAGATGGAAAACACCCAATCATCCTTATGAAAGGAAGTGATTAGGAC